CACACACACACACACACACACACACACACACACACACACACACACACTTTAGAATAGAGGTGAAAAGAAAAGAGGAAATCAGCCATTCAATATTAAAAAGGCCATAAATAAAACATTCTAATTTTGTTCAATGCTATGACGGAATTATTAAAAAGGTGTCAAACTGTCATTGTGAGTTTTCTAAAAAGATGATTCTGATCTGTATTATTAGGAAGATTCACTGCAATCTCTTCTTCACACTACCTGCCTGAAATATACACTGTGGAAAGTCTGGACAATCTGGGCATGAATGATTATGTAGAACTACCTGTAAATCATTCCTTTATATTTCAAGGTTACAATGCCTTTTGTAAAACAGCATGTATATGAATAAAAAATTCAAATGTTCAGGCTTCTACTTTTTAAGGGAACGGCCTTTAAGCATAGGCATAAACTCCAGTCTCTCCTCATCTCAATTATTAGAAGAAAACATCAAGAGCACTGATATTTAATGGAGAAAGTCCAATCTTCCCAGCATTTTGGTAAATAATTACTAAATTGATAAAAGGAGTCAGGTAGCAAGAACACTGACCAAAGGATGCTCAGAATCTGCATTACTGGACCACATACTTCAGATCTCTCATATCAGTAGAGTTTTAATCTCCCAATAACCTATAATCACTCTTAAACGTAGGTCTTTCTCTTTTCTCAAAGAATAATTGCGTTTAACTTGCTTCCAAATCTCAAAACAAATAGAAAGTAAAAGTAAACTTGAATATTCAGTTTTATTACATACAAAGTACTTGTAACAATGCTTAGTGTACAGTGACATCCAATATTAATTGATTTTGTTTTTATATAAGATATCCTATACATTTAAACATAATTAAAATCCTAATTAATAAGAATGTTTTAGTAAAATCATTTTCATTTCAGTAATTATTAATTCTTCAATTTGGAATTTAAAGTTCAATTGGTTCTAATATAATTATCTTAGCTCTTGATTCTATTTCAATTGTAAGGCTTTTTAAACAGTCATACTTACCACATGCAATTGACAAATAAACTTGAGAATCTGGTGTCTGGTGTAGGATGCGAAATGGAGCCACTTTAGCAGTAGAGTCTAAGACAGAATCAAGAGTCCCAACCAGAAGCCCTGTTGGAATATAAAAACTGTTAAAACAAGGATTCACAAGAACTCAAATATGTATTCATTCATAGGACAAATTAATGAACTTACCTTATAAATTCTACTCCAAAGTCTTCATTGAGATTTTTTTTAAATAAATATATTTTTGGAGGACAGGGAGACAGTTCATTCAGGGACTTGAGTTCAATCCCTAGAACCTAGATTAAAAATGCCAGTCATGATGGCACACACTTTGTAATTCCAGCACAGGAGAGGTGGAAGTAAGCTGGGTCCCTTGGGATTACTGATTAGCCAGCCTAGTCTACTTGGTGAACTCCAGACCAATGGGAGACTGTGATTCAAAGGGGAAAAGGGGGAGATGACACCTAAGGAACAACATCCAAGGGTATCCTCGGGACTCCAAGTCCATGCATACATATACACACAGTCGTACCTACCCAGACATAACACACACACACACAAATACATGTTTAGAATAAAAAGACCAATATTTATCACTATAAGCAGCATTTGGGAAAACAATCATTTACTCAATATATGGGAGGCTCAATTGCCCAAATCTTTAATTTGCAAGACTAAAAAAGTTCTGTAATAAGGTTGTGTATTTCTTAGACAAAGAAGTAGAATTTAGTACCAGGGGCTATGCGAGACTCAATTCTGGCTTTGTCACACACTCCAATTTGAGCATGTTAATTAGTTTTCATTTCTATATCCTCATTTGTAAAATAGGAGGACAAAACAGAATTGATTGCAAAGGGTATTGTAAAGATAAACTAGCCTGAAACTAGAAACAACGAGGGATATCCCTCAGTTGAAGAATGGATAAAGAAAATGTGGTACCTTTACACAATGGAATACTACTCAGATATTAAAAAGAAAAAAGAAAAACAAAGATATCATGTAATTTGCAGGCAAGTAGATAGAAATAGAAAAGATCATCATGAGTGAGGTCACCCAGACCCAGAAAGATACACACAGTATGAACCCATTTATAAGTAAGTATTAGCCATAAAGTACAGGATAACTATGCTGCAAATCCACAGACACAGAGAAGCCAAGAATGGCCCAAGGGAGGATGTTTTTCTTTAATCTCACTCAGAAGAGGAAATAAAATAGACACCTGAAGTAGATGGAGGGAAGGGTCTGAGTGGGAGAGGGGGTAGGGAGAATAATGTAGGTGGGCATACAGTTTGGAGAGAGCAGGCAGTGGGGGAGCAGGAGAGAGAATGGAAATAGGAGTCTATGCAGAAGACCCTAGCTGAGACTCCTAGCAGTAGGGATTAAGGAGCCTAAAGTGGATACTTCCTATAGCCAGGTGAGACTTCCAGTGGAAGAAGGGGGACAACCCACCCATCAATCCTTTGAAATAAAATTGTTTAAAAATAAAATAAAATAAAATAAAGCGAGATAAAAGTTTTGCCTATTGACATGTGTCAAATTACTATAGCACCATGTAGTGGGTTTAAATTAAGCCTCTTTAAAAATTGTAGTGGCAAGCTTTCCTAGTCCATATGGCAGGTAGTTCATCCCTTACAAGAAAATGAAGCAGGATTTTAAAAAAAAAAAAAAGGCTTCTACAATGGCAGCATGTAGACTATAAAGGAAAGAACTAATTTGAAACAGTCAAAAGTTAGGGTATGTGCAGGGGATGCAGTTGATGGTAGAGTGTTTGCCAGCATGTAGAGACCCTGGAACTTGATCTTCGGTACTACAAAAGAAACATAAAAGTAAGGCTTTTGTATAGGAAGACCTAATGATTGTTTGCATTTCCTCAGTGTGTCTCATTATGTCCCCCTTTTCATTTCTGATTTTGCTGATTTGGATAGTTTTTCTCAGCCTTTTAGTTAGTTTGGCTAAGAGTTTGTCTATCTTGTTGATTTTCTCAGAGAACCAGTTCTTGGTCTCATTGATCCCTTGAATTGTTTACTTTGTTTCTAATTCATTGAAATCAGCTCTGAGTTTGATTATTTTCAATGGTCTACTCCTCGGGAGCCTACTACACAAGGCCCCTGAAAGACTTTACACACCAGGGTATTAAAGCAGATGCTGAGACTCATAGCCAAACATTGAGCAGAGTGCAGGGAATCATATGAAAGAAGAGGGAGCTAGTAAGACCTAGAGAGGACAGGAGCGCCACAAGGAGAGCAACAGAACCAAAAATCTGGGCACAGGGGTCTTTTCTGAAACTGATACTCCAACCAAGGACAATGCATGGATATTCCCTAGAACCCCTGCACAGTTGTAGCCCATGGCAGCTCAGTGTCCAAGTGGATGTCCTAGTAATGGGAACAGGGACTGTCTCTGATATGAACTCAGTGGCTGGCTCTTTGATCATCTCCTCCTGACAGGGGAGCAGCCATACCAGGCCACAGAGGGAGACAATGCAGCCACTCCAGATGAGACCTGTTAGGCTAGGGTCGGATGGAAGGGGAGGAAAACCTCCAGTATCAGTGGACTGGGAGTGGGACATGAGAGGAGAAGAGGGAAGAAGGGTGGAATTGGGAGGGGACAAAGGAGGGGGCTAGAGCTGGGATACAAAATGAATAAATAATTAAAAAATAAATATAAAATAAAAAAGGTGTGAATTGAAGGTTTTATTGAAGAATCAAGCACTAGCAAATCTAGACAGATATTATTTTAGAACAGGTACTGGCTAAGAGACATTTGGAATGAAAGAGAGAGGGGAAATGATTAGATATCTGCTGGGGTTTGGTCTGATGCTTGCATTTTGATGCTAATTACTGGCCTTTAAGATTTGGTTACTGCCTTATCTTTGTTGTGTAAACCTGCCTTAAGACATTACACCTGACTGGTTCATTAAAAGGCCTAAAACCTGGGCACTGCAGAATGGAGTAGGCATGGCTAAGGTACCTCGGCTTTGGGAACAGGAAATTCACAGGAAACAAGACACATGGACTGGAAGAGAGGAGGAAGGAGCACACCAGGATGTGTTAGCCTGGAGAAGAAACCACGTGGGCAAGGAGGAAGGACTCCAAGAATGGCATGAAAAGGCCCAGATGAAGAATACAAGCAAGTATTTTTAAGATTATGGATGGAAGGTAGCCCATATAAGGACGGTTAAGGCAGATGCCATTGGATGGGGGCTGGGAATCGGATGGTGAGGTTAAGACAGCATAGGTGAAATACCTGCCCAGCCCAAGGTGAATAAGGCAATTATAAAATTTAACAGGTGTCTTATAAATTGTGATAGCAGGTTAAATAATATGGCCCTGATAATCATAGGGCAAATTATAAATAACATTATTTAGCCCAACACCCATTTTATTTACAACATACTTCAGCTAGTGAGGAGGGAAATATCCGAGAATTTCAGCACACAAAGAAAGATAATTAAGCATCAATGTAGTAGCTCTAATAAATTGAGCATTTGATCAAGTAAAAAGGAAAGAGGAGCTAAGCATATGCAGATAGTCTTCTAAGAGTACCATGAGTGCAATTACTCAGGAAATGAGGAAGGCAGGAGAGTGAAAATATTCCAAGGACAAAAGGGTAGTAGCAAAATATAATGAAAAGAAATTGACTTAAAAATCAATTTGTGTGCATACATATATAAATACATATAATAAATTGACAAAGTTGTCTAGATAAAGAAATTAAAACCCCTGAAAGTATATTGGAATCCCACCACTTAGGAATTCAAATCCAGCTTTAGTTACATACCAAGTTTGATGTCACCCTGGTCTATATGTCCTATCTCAAAGGGGGAAAAGTAGGTATTTATTTACAACAGGGCAGTTTGGCTGCTAGTTTACTTGACACTTGTCTTCCAAGAGTTTAATTTTAAACAAAGTCTGGGAAAAAGAAAAATTCATAGTTGCAAGAAAAGCTACTCATTTATTTATGAGATTTTTTAATAAAACTAAATTGATATTTCTTTTTTCATACACATTTTAAAAGGTTCTATTTAAATAACTGGTAAAAAAAAAATGGGTAAAGTTCAGCAGAAAGAACAGTGGTGGTATAGATATATCCAGGAAGGCAGAGAGGACAGGAGAGGACACAAAATCATTTCCAAGTAACACAGCAATCCTCTGATAGATTTTGACACCAGGGACAAAATGGTCAAAATCACTGACAATAACCGTTATTATTATTATTTTGACAACAGAAATGTTGACAGTATGCATTGCATAATATAAAAAGGAAATTGTTAAGCTTTCATAAGTGCATGAAATTAGGTTTTTAATATAAAACTATGCAACAAGTAATTTGGAAGCTAGCACGAGAATACATTTCTAGTCACTGGGGGAGACTCCCAGCTCATGAAGCTGTAATCATCATCAAGCCCCTGCAAGTCATACAGGAATTAATAATATGTGCCAATGTCTGGGTTATGAAAATACAACAGATGGAAGAGGAGGAGGACCTCTCCTATCAGTGGACTTGGAAAGGGGTAGGGAGGGAAGGTAGGATTGGGAGGGAATGAGGAAGGGGGCTACAGCTGGGATACAAAGTAAATAAACTGTAACTAACATTAAAAATAAAAAATTAATTAAAAATCTTTTAAAATAAAAAATAGAGTATTTTAAAAAATTTCAAAACTGCCAAGTTACATGATTTTTTTAAAGGCAGTTATTTTTTTATGAACAATAATTACTATACACAAGCCAGTCTTTTTGGCTGGATAAGGAACCTCAGACTTCGGAGATGAAAATTATCCTGACTAGCCCATATAATCTTACCTCCTAGCACATTTACTTTCTCTATAATATCCCTTGCCATTACTTCTCTAAGGCTGCCTATTTCTAAAATAAAGAAGGAATTATATTTCCATAGTCAGGGCCCGTTATTTGGGTTTATGATCAGTACACACAGCTCTGCACATAGAATGACTCCGCTCTTTGTTTAATGCTATTGTCAGTATCCTAAAATCTTTGTGATTTGAAGGGATTTAGTTTTCATTTTACAGTTAGTTCCATCAACTTTACAGCCTATCCTGGATATAGTGGTTAAAAGTGTCACTCAAACCTGACTACTAAACCAGA